GCTAGTTCCAGCAGAGATTGACACCGTCAAGAAGGCGTTTTTAAAAGATTTCATTGTAATTCTTAGTCATAGGAGTTACTTTGTATTTTTTTGGATCTTAGGTCCAAACCAGTGTACCTGTAATTGTTATGAGCATCAATAAAGTTACATGTGCTTTAGAAAAAGCTTGCTCGATGGGTTGCTTCACTCCGTCGTCCCTTGACCTTGACTACTAACCCTTTGATGCACTAGCCATTGCCTTTTCAATAAATGAAAAAATGTTACAAATTTGAAAAAAAAATGTGAATAGAATATAAGTTCGTGAAATTGGAAAAAAGTTCACGCATTAGAAAAAGTTAATGAATTTGAAAAATATTCACAAAATTTTAAAACTCCATGAATTTCAAAAGTTTATCAGTTTGGAAAAAGTGTATGAAATTCTAAAAAAATCACACATTAGAAATGTCAGAAATTTTAGAAAATATTCACGAATTTGATAAAGTTCATAAATTACAAAAAAATCATCTTGAAAAAAATGCGAAATTTTAAGAAAATCTTGAATCTAGAAAAATTCACAGATTTTACAAAAAATTGACAAGAATGAAAAAACAAAAGAAAAGGAGAAAGGGAAAAAAAAGAAAGGAAAACGAAAAAGAAAACAAAAGAAACTGGAAGAAAACTAGTCTAGGAAGCATCTAGAAGCTTCCAAAAATCGCAATACACGTGCAGCACGCGCGATACATATGCAGTGTAAACGGGAAGAAAAAAACATAAACTGGCCATCCCAGTTCCTACGTATGTGTGCTAGGGGTACACGCCATCTGCAAAAATGCCTATAAGTAGTGCCTGAAGCGCCAAATAGGAATTGGTCAATGATTAATACTTCCTCCGTAAAGAAATATAAGAGCTCACTAGAGAGGAAGTACTTTGCACATGAAACCTACGGCATTCTTATGCTGCAGCCACAGATCAGCTTGAAGCTTGGGCAAAGAAATTAAATTATGCAAGTTTCAATCATTATAAGAGGAGTTCAAATATGGAAGCTCGTTAGACTAGTTACGAGTTCAATTTCTAGCACAGACAGGTCTGTTTTGTAAATCCACCATTAAGCGTTGGCATTCCACAACTGTTTGATTCTGTTTAATAAAGGGTAGAAGTTCTCTAAAAAAAGTTTTAACTTGGTGTTTTTTCCTACAGGATTTTAAACATTACGACCTTTTTCTATGTATGCCATTTGTTTTATAAGAATGACGTTCCAAGATTTGTTTAGCATTGTATTCAAACCGTCCACATTGGCCTAATTCCTAAGGATTCTTGCCATTATGTGACCTCATAAAAAAAATCTAAGGATTGGAGTGAACAGGGCAGACAAATACTCCCTCCGTCCCATAATATAAGAACGTTTTTCAAGCTATGACGGAGGGAGTACCTTACTTTTCCTATTACTTCGATTTGAAATTTCTGTAAACTGAATGAGCCCTAAGCACCCCGGGAGCTAATTCACTACGCGACAACAAACATTTGTTGTTTCACTGAACTGTGCAAGTACGATGCAGTTCATATGCACATGTATCAACATCATTTTGATCGACAGCACAAATCTACTCCATGTACTGTACATGAACCAAATAAACACACCACGCCTCTCCAGGAAACAAAGATAGCAAATCAAATGCAAATAGCAGTTTCAGACAGCCTAGAAATAAGCATTGTTCAGAACAACCAGCAGTATAAATCTGCACTGAAGTCCAACCAAAAAACCTCCCGCTCAAACAGGAATAACACCATTTGGGTACTGGCCCCATCATCATACATAAACAGACTGCGAGAAGCTAGGTCCAAGGATCTGTGTTTTGCACCACAAATATTCAAGGGACTGCTGCAGCTCATAAGCTAGTACGAGTAGCCAATGTTACAATTTACGGATAGATGGAGTACAAACATCAGCCCCCTATAAACAAAGTTCTAAGCTTGAGTAAGGCACTAGTGACAGTGATGTACCTGCAGTCTAGATCGGAGACCAAGAAGTAACTTGTGAAACCCGATCAAAGTAGCCAGACAAAAGCACTACAGATTGATAGTCTTACTTTTGTCGAGGGCATTTCAACAATCCAGAAGTACTAATAGAACAAAATACAATCACCAGTTGAAGTTATATTAAGTTGCGTGGCTGTTTGTCCTCCTTAACTCCATCGCTAGCTTCGAGCCTTTTTGGACTCCTGCCTTTATCAGGACCACCAATAACTCCCCATGTCTTAAACTGCCGGTGCCGAGCCCTTGCCCTTTCCTTTTCTTCCTCAGATCTCGTGGAAAAGCAGTATGGGCATGATACACCATACTCCCATTTAGGAGATTCCATGTCTTCGTCACTAACTGGTTGCTTACATCCATAGCAAAGCTTGTGGGTTCCTTGAGCTAACCCATGCTCCACTGAAACACGCTTGTCAAACACGAAGCATTCACCTTCCCACAAGCTTTCAGCTTCCGGGATTTCCTCTAGGTACTTTAATATCCCACCCTCCAGATGGTAAACCTGGCATGTACAGATATGAAACCTCCCATTAGGGTTGCAACTATAAGATATGCTAAGAAGTTGACGGCGTAAAAAGCTACCATATATTAATTGGTTTCTATAACAGAACTTATCCACTATGTGCACCACATAACCCCACATAACCTAGTGCTTTGATGGTACAACATACATTACCAGTTTAACTGCACACAAGATGCAATAGTCAACCTCAGGACAAATTCAAATTTGTATATAATTTTATTTTTAAATCAAAAGGAGATGCTTCATGAGGATAGTCAGCAGAAGATAAGCAGAGAAAGCCCTCCTGGCATACCTCTTTAAATCCCTTGTCGAGGAGAAAGCTCGATGCCTTCTCACATCTAATACCACCAGTGCAATACATAGCAACTCGTGGTAGCTCTTTGGGTCCACTAGAATTCAGATCCTCTTCCGCTCCTTCAGTTAGAGTGTTACCATTTACTGATGACTGGTGACTGTCAGATTCAGCCAACTGGAATTGATTATCCACCCAAGATGGGAATTCTCTAAATGATTCCGTGCATGGATCAACAGCCCTCTTGAATTTTCCTATGCGTATCTCATACATGTTGCGCACATCAATGACAACCTGCCACATGGATAGTGTGAATGCATCAGGCAGATGGCAGGGAACTAGACAAAATAAATTCTGAGATGAATGAAAGACTAACGGTGTCTGGATCGCTTATCAACGAATTCCAATCTTTTGGCTTTATATACTTGCCAACCCTTTTAGTTGGCATCACACCAGGGTCTCCAAAACTCACTATCTGAGGAATAGTCAATAAAACATAATAATCAGCATCACCAAATACTCAGGTATTCAGTCAAACAACCAGTAATATTTACTACTCCCTCCGTCCCAAAATTCTTGTCTTAGATTTGTCTACATACTGATGTATCTATTCACATCCCAAAATTCTTGTCTTAGATTTATCTACATACAGATGTATCTATTCACATTTTTGTGAATAGATACATCCATATGTAGACAAATCTAAGACAAGAATTTTGGGACAGAGGGAGTATTATGCAAGCAAACTAACCAACCTCCTTTTTCAATTTCACACGGACATGATCCCATCGGAATGGGGCATCTTCTCCAGGACCAACAGGAGAATGGCTGGTATGTCCATGATGGATAGCCTCATCCTCTGGAGTAACAGGTGTCTGGATCACCCTCAATCCTTTTAAGCGATTGTCTGTTTGAATAAAGTTCAAAACTTTCTCCACAGCTTCTGGTGTTCCACATAAACTACCATTGATTCCTTCTGGTGCAAGAATAATGCCACCTGAAACACGCTGAACAGCATCAGCCAACCAACCATGTGAGTGCACAGTTTCACAGAAACATTGATAAATAAATACTCCAAGGGTACTCATTATGAACACCAAGGAGTAGCATATAAAAGCAATTTCTACACAATATGAACACCAAGTTACAGTACTCATTACCACTTAATATTTCGAAGTTGTAAAAGAGGATAACACAGAATACAACCATTAGACCACACATACTTTGTAACTTTACATAAGAAAATAATCAAATTTATCAGGTCATCCATAAATTTGGAAATAATTATCTCATATCATATCACTATTGTTCTAGTTACCAAAGCTTCATCTAATAGATTAAATAAATCAAGTACATAACTGAACACCTTAATGTAACAAAACAGTAACAGGTACCAAAGAGTTAAAAAAAACTAAATATATATAGAAGGTTAGCAGTTAAAATAGATGCTCACGAAATGAATATCTTAGTGTAACCTGCATCAACAACAAGAAATGAGCTTAAGCCATAAAAAATATAAAGAAGAGTTAACTGAAGCTCCCCACAAGACAAATCTGTCAATAACATATTGTACTTTCTTTGTTACAAGTTTGGGTAGTTTTTCACATACGTATTACTCGCATTTGGTATTGCTATATCTATCCGCATTTTGCAATAGGTGTACAAAAATAATACTATCTCCATCTCAAAATATAAGACTTTTTGTAAGCTAAACTAGCCTACACAAAAACGTCTTGTATTTTGAGACGGAGGCAGTACAATGCAGTATCTAGCCCAAAATTGCCATACATATGCACTATACAATCCTTTTGCATATCTGAAGAACTTAGCTATTTTTCAGTTCAAGGAAAGAACTTACTAAGCTCCACGGTCTATTGACCTTACTCAACATACAAAGTTCATTACATGAATGCATCAAACATTTAGTCGAACACATTATATCACGCAACCAAATAGGGATGTAACATAGCACAAAAGCTGACAAAATACAATCCGTGCCATTTTGCTAGTCTTCCCTGGCAGGTTGGCTCGAGGTTTTACAACATTGCCCACCAGTTCAATTCTAATGTTGTACTATCTCGTTAGGTCACACAAGCGATGGCCATCGACGCAAAGTGACCAAAAAAAAAAGGATGATATCTGTGCGCGCTCACCAGCTCCTCGCAGAGCTCCTTGAGCGGCCGCCGCAGGTCGGCGTGGTCGGGGAAGTCGGCGAACCGGTAGAAGGAGACCACCACCAGCGCCGGAGCCTCGCCTTCTGCGCCTCCATTCCCCGCGGCCACCGCGAAGCTCCTCCCGTGCGGCGGCAGGGAGACGAGCGGAGCGCTGTTCCTGAGCGGCATGAGGCGGACGCGACGGCGGGAGACGGCGGGGGTGGGGGCGGGCGGGTCGAGGATGAGCGAGCTGATGGAAGGGAGGAGGTGGTGGGCGGCGGCCGTGGCGGCGCGGCGGGCGACAGAAAGTGGTGGGGAGGGCAGCATCCGGCCTGTCGGGTTTGGGTTGGGTTGGGTTGGGGCGGAATTTGCAGCGGAGATTAGCCTCGTCCTGTGTTTATCTTTCGTGATGGGCTTTTGGGCCACGATGTTATTTCCTCACGCTTGCCGCGACGTGGAAGATAGCGCTCCCTTAGTGGCCTGGCCCAGTCGCAAAGTCGAAAATGCGCCGCTCGTTGCAGGGATCGAACTTACGCCAGACAGTTGATTACGCGAGATGCTAGCCACCACACCAACTGGGAGTTCGTGGTAAGTACCTTTTTTTTCTTTTTGCAGAGAACTTTGAGCTTTATTCAAATAAAAGTGTTTGCTGGACAGTCAGCCAAGAGGCTGCTAACCAGAAAACTTGGAGTTTCAGAGATCCAGCTTTCGGTTACAGACACATTACATGCCCATTGCGCACAGAGGTGTGCTGAACCGTTAGCTGATCTGCTTACATGAGATATTACAAAAGAATCAAAACTAGCAGAAAGCTCCTCAATTTCGAAGAAAACTGGTGCCACAACAGAGCGGCTATTGAGGCGAGTGTTCCAGAGTTTAACGATCTCCAGACAATCGGTTTCCATGATCACTTGAACATAGCCCCGTAGATCTGCAAAGATTACGCCATCCCGCAAAGCTAGTGCCTCAGCAATCATCGGATCAGTGACCCCCTGCAAGGGTTTACACCATACGCCTAGAAGCGCATCTTTCGAGCGCGCAACTCCTCCTGCTCCGCTCAGTCCTTCCAGATGTCGAACGGCGGCATCTGTGTTGATTTTTACCTGGCCTAGTTCAGGTGGCCTCCAGCCATGGCCCGGTAATATAGTAGCTTGTTGTTTGGGAACGTCGAGCAAGGCCAGCGCCTCTCTGGTGAATCTGATCGACTTCACCGGGTCATACTTATCTCCATCGTGCGTCCACCTGTTGCGAGAGCTCCATATAGACCACATGATGGTGATGATTGTTCGTGGTAAGTACCTGCGCGCACCACTTTTAATATACTATGATAGTATAACGTACAGATTTGCAGGATCATATCTGCTGTAGCGTACATATTTTTCAATTGTTGCACACATTTTAGGAAACACGAATGCGGGTGTATATGAGCGCTTATGTCTGTACTGATGCTCAAAAACGAACAATTTTTTGAAAAATTTCAGATTTCGAAATAGTTTTTGAATTACATAAAAAGAATTAGAATTACACCCAATTTTTAAAATTTCAGGAGATTTTCGAGAAACAAGAAAAATTGTAAACAATTTTTAAAATGACAAACATTTTCTGAAACGGGGAACAAATTTGGAAGCACGAACATTTTTTTGAATCTCGAGAACAAATTTTGAAACGGAGAACAACTTTGGAAGCACAAACTTTTTTTGAATTTTAAGAACAAATTTTGAAACGAAGAACAAATTTGGGAGCGCGAACAATTTTTTAAAGCACGAACATTTTTTAATCTTGAGAACTAATTTTAAAACTGAGAACAATTTTGAAAAATCCCGAGCAAATTTGGAAGCGTGAACATATTTTTAAAGCACGAACATTTTTTTTAATCTTGAGAACAAATTTTGAAATGGATATTTTTTTTGAAAAATATCAAACAAATTTGGAAGCGCGAACATTTTAGGAAAATGGGAACAAAAAATTGAAATCCGTACATTTCTGCATTTCGAAACTTTTCAACTATTTGTGTAACGAGAACAATGTTTGAATCTTGAGAACTTCTTTTGAAACCTCAACATTTTATGAAAACACGAACAAAATTTGAATATTTTGAAATTATTTTGATAAAAAAAGAAAAAAAGGAAATGAAAAATATATAAAAAACCAAAGAAAGAAAAAAAACAGGAAAATCGAAAAAAGAAAAAAGAAACAGAAATAACTAAAAACGAAAAGAAGAAGAAAAAAGAAAAAGAAAAACTATAAAACAAAGGAAAAAGAAAAAGAGAAACAGAAAAAGAAGAGGAAGAACGGAAAAAACAGAATACACAGGAAAGAACTGGGTTCAGATTTGGGCGTACTGTGAAAGCTCGAACTGGGCCGGCCCATCTCCTGTCCCAAGCATGCTTGCCCTGTGCGAATCCCCGACACTTCGCCGCATTGAGAGGTGAATAGGGTTTTCCGTTTCCTCTGGCTTTCCTCCCAGTTTGACAATTTGGTTTTCAGTTTGTTTCTATGGTGCGTTTCCTCGGTTTTTCTTTGGTTTTCTGTGTTTCTTCATTGATTTTCTTTAGGTTTTCCCTTTTTCCAGGCAAATGATAAGTGTCACATGTGTGGCATGAAGGAATTCCGTCCTGATATTTTTTACAACTAAAGTTGCCATCTGAAAAGAAAAACAAAATTAAAACTTGCCGTCCAAAAAAAAGTTGCCATGCTTGACAACTAAAGTGGCTATCCTTGCGTCTCTAAATTTGTCATCAAAAATGTTTCGAGTTGCCATGTGTTCGTGCCACATTTTTATGGTCCTTTTTCAATGCATGCCTAACTTTTCAACACATTGTACAATATTTATATACTTGTGGAGCATTTTTTTATACACATGGGAAAACTATTCAAATATTTGATGTGTATTTTTTAAATACATGTTTCAAGCATTATTTCAAATATATGTTGAACATTTGTCAAATGCATGGTGAACTATTTTAATGGCATGAAACATTTTTTGCATTGCATAAACATTCAAAAGAACGCGGACATATTTTTCAAACACGTGATTTTTTTTTAAATAGTGTACAATTTTTTTGTTCATGTAAAAATATTGCTATATACTCCCTCTGTTTCTAAATATAGGTGTTTTTAGATATTTCAATATAGACTACATACAAATGTATATAGACGTAGTTTAGAGTGTAGATTCACTCATTTTCCTTTGTATGTACTTTATATTGAAATATCTAAAAAGACTTATATTTAGGAGCAGAGGGATTACACTTGTCGTGCCTGGCCAACGCAACCCACATGTGGAACCAGCCCAACTATATAAGCAGATTCAGCCACCTCATGTATTGTATAATACTCTTGCTCAAAAAAAATGTATTGTATAATACAAAAATTCATGAATTGGTAATATGAATTTTCAAAACAATATATTCAGGGAGTTTCTTAAACTGCATTGATCCGAGTTGAACCGTCTAGATGTAGGTGTATATGTCATAGTGCACCAATACAATAACTACATCATTAGACAAACAACTCACACAATGGTCTATCTATCAGCCGACCTCGTGGGCTCTTCCGTCGTTCCCGAGCGAGTGAGTGTAGATAGGAACCTGCAGAGCTTGTGTATGCGGCCGCATTAGGATTTTTTTAAGTCACCACCATCGGACCAAGGTTTTCGAGTCGATGAGTCGATGAGTCGCTTGGGGGTGCGACTCTAAACTAGTCGTGACTAGTCTAGATTCACGGTCGACAAGTCGACATGACAACGAGTCGACGTGAGTTAAGCAGCAGGCAGTCAAGGGAGGAGCACAAGTGCACAGCAGCAGCAACAACCAAGGGAGGAGGGGAGGAGCACACCACCACCAGCAGTAACCAGGGCTGACTGAGAGATGGGCCACTAGTTATGCACTTTCTTGTGGCCCAAAAGCCCATCTAGTAGCTATATACTCCTCCCGTGACCTAATCCACCATCCACACTCCCTCCTCCCTCACCACAGCCGCCACACATTCTGCTGCCACTCTCTTGCCACCACTCCTCCTCCCAGCCATGGATCTCTCAACTCTCCCGCAACAGCTCTCTTGCAACCGCTCCTCCTCCCAGCCCGCTCCTCTTGCCGCTGCAGCTTCAGCAGCAGCGGCCAGCGCTGCAGCGGGGGATGTGGCAGCAGCGGCGGGGGCGGGGACACAGAAGCAACAACAACGGCCAGCGCTGCAGCGAGGGATGCGTCAGCAGCGGTGGGGGCGGGGACACAGAAGCAGCAGCAGCAGCAGCGAGGCAGCACGTCGGTGGGAGAGTGCTCCAGATCCAGCGCTACCTCGAGTCCTGCGACCCAAAAACCGCGACTAGTCGTGACTAGTCGCGCGAGTCGAGAGGCTGAGTCGGCCCTGGAACTGCGACTCGTCGACTAGTCGACGACTAGTCGAGCGACTCGAAAACAGAGCGTCGGACATACTTTCGCCCCACCGGTCTCCGGCTGCCATTTTAGCACCGAGGTGCCTCGGATCTTTAGAAGTTACACGCTTCTTGTCAGTATTTATGTGGTCATGGTGTTTTTTAGTAAAGATACTGCTGTTTCTTTATTAATGGTGCTATGGAGATAGAGATGTTTGTGTCTTTGCGGGTCCGGTTGTTCGAATCTGATGGGTTTATGTTATTTTGTCATCCTGTTATTTGTTGATTTGGTTCTGAAGTTGGAATTTTTTTCTCACCATTATGGTGAAGATTTTATAATTCGACGGCCTGCTTTTCTAGGGTTCTTCTCCGGTCCAAGTACGTTTATCGCTAAGGCTTCCCATCTGTTTAGATGAACGACACAACCAACTTTCAGAAATCTTTATTGGTAATTATATTTGTGCGGGTGAATGAGCAGTATCATTACCCCAATCCAATCGAAGTCTCTTTACTGAAGTCTTGTGAGTTTTCTGTCTTGCAGAGATTGATTCACGGAGCAGAAGTCCTCAAAAGATATTACTCTATTTGTTAGTCATACCGTTACTTTGTATATTTTTGATCTTGGTTCTCAAATATTATCTATGTAATGATTATGAGTTAGAATAAAATTACAGGTGCTTGAAAAAAAAGGAACCTGGAGAGCTCAGTGACAAGCGGGCAACGGTGACAGTGGTGATGACAGACTGCAGTATGCACCAGTACCGGTGAAGGCTGCTGGAAGGGGTTGGGGGTGCACGGCGTTGCTCGAAGGAAGGGGGAGCAGCAAGAGCTAGTGGCGTGGAAGAAAGAAACGCTGGTGGCACCTGGCAGCCTCCCCCAACTAAGAGCATCTCTAGCCGTTCGGCCCTCCAGGACGCCCAAAAAGCGCCGTCTGGGACCGAGCCGGCGTTAATTT